CACATTATGTCCAAGGTGACTTCTTTGTTCCTTGAGAAATATACATATGGTAGTAGTGCGCGTGAAACTAGTGCAATAATGCGACAACATTCTACCGGGTATCAATTTGTACTCCTGGGTAGAGAGAGGCATCTGCTACTACAAATAAATTATATATTCCAAGGAAAGCGCCTTGTATCGTTGTTTGTATTCATGTTTGATTGTATTTGTAATTTGGAACAACGTGGCATCAGTTTGTTTTTTACAACAAATTATATATATTTATATACATATTATATTCATCTTTCTGTTAGATATTAATGAGTGCACAAGTGGAGACCATATGTGTTCTGAGAACTGCGTGGATACAGAAGGCTCTTATAACTGCTCATGTAGTGCTAATTATCAGCTATCTGATAATCAGAGAGATTGCGATGGTAGTTATCATGTTTCACTTTATGAGATTAGCTGTTTGCTTTTATTTTAGCCCATGAATCCTAAAGTCTTTGCGTTCAAACAATATTATAATTTTATACAAATGAGATATATATTAACTCATATAAAACCGAGGTTGAATTTTATTTAAACAATTGCAAAGTATTAATGTAGAAAGAGAAACCTTACAAACTGCAGTATTAGGCCTAAACGTAAATTTATTACATAAAAGGTGTCGAATTTACTATTATTTTGAGTCTATTGTAATTGTGATACAATTTAGATAAATGAGTATTGTGATGTGAAATTGCTTTTACTGTTGTCTTTGATTTCCAGATATAAATGAGTGTGGTATTTCGGATTCATGTAGTGAAAATGCAATGTGTATCAACGCTCCTGGTACATACATATGTTCATGTAATTCTGGTTATTCTGGAAACGGTCAACAGTGTAACGGTAAACTATGTTTTTTTTTCCATGTTAATTTACATAAAGGATGTTTTAGGACTTAAACAATTAAACAATTTATAATTTTATGCATGCTTGTAAAACAGTTACATTATATTGTATGCACGCAGGGGTAAACATGGCTCTTGAGGCAGTCATTTAGACACACAGAGGCCAAGTAGTTAGTAATAACAAAACAAAAAGCCAATGCTTACTAATTACTATTTTATCAGATGATAATATATTGTGTGTCAATGATGCTATGAATTATTCTTAAAACTGTGTACTTCAATAGATATCGATGAATGTGAACATATTCGACTCTACTGTTCCGGAAATGAGACTTGTGACTATGAAAGATGTGATGATGCTGCCTTCTGTACTAATACTAACGGTTCATATATGTGTCAATGTAAAGGTGGTTTTACAGGAAGTGGCAAGATTTGTTTTGGTAGGCCAATTACTATATAATATTTATAAAAATAATTATTATAAATAGTTTTCTTTTAAAATTATTCATTGTCTTTTCTTCAGCATTTTCTTCTTTGAAAGCCAGTTCCCTTTCTCTGCTGCATATTATACTATGTATGTTTCTAAGTGCTTTGGTTCACTCTTTCTTTTGTTTGTAGAAGCACATAGGGACATATATTATATATATTTACAAATTTAATACACCAACCTAGCAAGTGATTGATGCAAATACAAGAGGTTCATGAATCATTATGGAAAGAAGTTATTAAAAATTATTAAATTAGTTACTATTACATGAGGTTTAATTTTATTATACTTGTAAAGCACTCAAAAGACAATGGTGAAATATTGCTATTATGTTATATAAACATATTCTACATCTTTATTTACCAATGTCTTCAAATTAACAGATGTGAATGAATGTTCTTCAATGCCATGTGATTCCATGGCTACATGTGAAAATACACCTGGGAATTACTCATGTACCTGTAATGATGGATTTGCTGGCAATGGTATCACTTGCCAAAGTAAGTTAGATTCTTATTATTAGTATTATTAGTATACTTTTATCTTTACATTTTATTGTCAATTTTGTTATTATTATCGTCATATTAGTAAAATATTACAAATTTTAAAGTTTAAACTCAAGAAAGATAATTATGTAATTATAAACTTAAAGATATCGATGAATGTGAATACAATGGCACTTGCAATGAAAACGCTGAATGTACAGACACGGAAGGAGCTTTCCAATGCAACTGTCATGATGGTTTCCGTGGAGATGGAATAACAAGTTGTAATAATATCGATGAATGTGCAGAAAACACTGCTGATTGCCATGCAGATGCTACATGTACTGACACACCCGGTTCATTTACATGCATGTGTAATGCAGGCTTCAATGGAACTGGACAAAACTGTGAAAGTAAGGGAAAAGTTTGATATTAGATAATATAATCATTATTGTGATGATGTGAAATGATAATGATACATTGTGGAATTTGTTATTTAAAAGTTGTCAGATTTCAAAACAATAATCATAATGAGATGTTAAAGAGTTTGTATTGTATTATTCCTCATTTTACTTTTGTTTTATTTTTTTAATTAAAGTTGATTTTGATGAAAATACAAATATAATATAAAGAAACGTGTAAAAGTAAACGAAAGATTATATAGGCCTATGTTGTATTTTCTACACTACTGTATATATGCATTGATGAAAATAGATAGTTTAATACATTTTTAATAAGGCCATGTAAGATAAAACAATTGGTTAGCATCCTAATGTTATCAATTTTCATGGTAGGGAGGGAGTTTTTTTTTTTTTTTTTTTTTTTTTGCATCGAACATGAAAAAAGAGTTTTGCAAGGAAAAACAGCAAAGAAAGAAGAATAAAACAACAGAGACCAAAATTACATACAAGCATCTATAGCAAGCAGAAACTTTACCTATGAATAACGGCATCATAATGCAATTATCTCTATGTATTATCATGCACAATTCACTCCTCAACACAACAGGCATCATGGATACCATATGTGGCTAAAGTATAGGCCTATAGAACAAAAGTAGAGCATAGAACTGCAAGTGGACTGGCTAGTGTGCGGACGGGTGGTAAACAAACCTTTATTAAATTGAGTTTGTGAGTGTATTGTAAATTTAAAAAAAAAAATCGGGTCAGTGGCCTTTTTGATGGTAGGGAGGGGATGCTAACCAATTATTTTATTTTACATGGCCTAATGACTATTTTTTTTTTTGAAAATTGTAATTTGATTTGGACATGTTGTGTGTTATGTTTTTTTGAACCTAATATTGATACAAATTGAGAATATTGTTTGACCTTTCTGACAGATATCAATGAATGTGCATCATCTGACCTGAATAACTGTGATGAAAATGCTTCGTGCATGGATTCAGTTGGTTCCTACCTCTGCGTATGCAACGGAGGTTACATGAGCAACGATGGGGGAAGTGCAATTGAAGGCAATTGTGATGGTAGGTGGCCAAATAACATTTTTAAAAGATGATATATTAAAACATTTAAATATGAAATGTCTCCTGTTATTGACTCTGTTGTAAAATGCTCATACATACAAATATAAGGTTTGATTTATTAAAACTATTTTTTTATGTATACTAATAACATTGTTGGTACTGTAGTAACAAAATAAAAGATGTCTCATACTTTCAGATATCGATGAGTGTATGCTGAATATTCATAATTGTTCGAATTTAGCAACTTGTCAAAATACACCTGGTGGATTTGAATGCTCTTGTGGTGAAGGATATCAGGGTGATGGATATCAGTGCTCAGGTATAATCATTTTTAAATGTTTATTGCTATTGATTGTTACCTCCGTCAATGATTTTATGTATTCAGCGCTGTTTTTTTTTTTTTTTATCAGGAATATGCAAAACTAATGAATAGATAGTTACGACAATTTGAAAAAAAAACCAATCACATTATTGGTGATTATCTTTTCTTTATTATTCTCTTTCAGGAACAGGACGAAGTATGATATTTTTTCTCTGTTTATTTTGTTAGGCATGTTCATATAAATTATTTCAGCATCAACTTTTGCGACAGTTGAGTGGAATACAAAAAGTGAAATTAGAATTAACATGTAACGTTTTATTCAATGTGATATGCTTTGTGACAGTTTGGGGGTTCATCTTTAAAGCCTCATTCAACTTGATTCTATATTTTCTTCTTTAGATATAAATGAATGCGAAATGACCAATAATTGTAATATTGATGAAAAAAAGCAGTGTAATAATGTTGAAGGAAACTACACATGCGTGTGTATGAATAACTTTGTGGAAGTGGATGGTACCTGTGTAGGTAAGCTATAATTAACGTGTTTATCTTTCAGATATTGTTTTGTCTGGGCACATTATATTCAATAACCGTATGGGATGGTGGCATTAAACTTATTAACAATTCTAACAATTCCCAAATATTTCATTATTATTATTATGATTTTTATTATTATTTTTTTATTATTTTTTTTATTATTGTTATATTATTATTATCAATATTTCAATATTATTTTTATTGTAATATATATTTCAAATGGATGGAATTTTCATGCAGAACATGTTCTTACAAATGGTCCATTAAAAAAAAATGCTTATACTACATTATATAAAAAATGTTCATTTTTGCACCTTTTTTGTGGGGGTTCTTTGTTTTGTTTGTCTTTTTGGTTATTTAGTGTTTTTTATTTGTTTCTCTGAAACAAAAAAATAAAAAAAATATGTAACTTTTATCTGAAGTGTGTCACACCATGTGTGTAGTAAAAAACTAAGAAGTAATAAAATGTCTAATCAAAGCTACTGTTGAACCACGCTTTTTATTTATTTAACTTTTATTATTATTTTTATTATTTATTATTATTATTATTATTATTATTATTATTATTCTTATTATTATATTAATATTTCAATATTATTTTTATTATTAATATATTATTATTATTATTATTTTAATGAAAGTATTAAAATGTATCAAAATCACCAGCATAAAATCAACCAAAATGTTTCGTAACAATATGAGTATGCATTTACAAACGCTTTTATCTTTTGTAATTATTTAGGTGCATTAACCATGAATATGGTAGTGAACTTTACAGACATCAAAGGAATCGTTGTCAGTGTGCAGCCAGCAGTATTTGATTCCGTTGACATTCGAAATGGTCTTGTAAATGATGTATGTTACATGAATTTTATTATTTGTCTTCGGCTGTAACAAATTGAATGACCTATGTGCATTAATTGCATATTATGTATTTACATAACTTATGCTCATTTACACTTTATTTTATAACTTTCAGATAATGTAGTGTAATTCCTCCGCTACCGTAAAGTGGTACTAACTTATTGTAGTTTTATGATCATCACAGATAACAAGTTTTTGTTACGCTGTTATAAATATGGAAGTCTATTTTGTGATTACTTACCTGGATAAACCAATAAATGCATTTGAAACTTACCTCTTGCCCATAAAAGAAAATAATACAATAATATTTAGAAATTTAGTACAGGGCTTGAATTCTAAATTCAAATTTTTATATTTAAGTGCTTTAAGTGATGATTTTTTTTTCTTCGTGAATAGGTTTACACTCTGTTTCAGTCATCAAGCATCGGTAGCTCCATATTACAAATAAGTGTAGATTCCTATAGGCAAATTCCTCCATTAGTGGAAGTCACTTTCCGACTTGATCTACCAACATCAACAAACTTGACATTGAATGACGTCACGGCAGTATTTTATGGAGGATTAACAGGAGCAGAAAATACGCAATTGCAGCCAGACAGTGCCGTCTTTTATGTAATGATGCCTGGTAGGTTTGGTTTATATTCTCCTTATATGAAACAGTATTTACATTAAATAGTTTTATTATTTAATAAATGCTATCGTAAATATTAAATTTATAATATTGATGCGTATCATATACTATAAATATAGAGTTGACGATGACTGAATCGTTTTTAACTGATATAATTGGAATTGGTCTTGTATATCATATGAAATGTTGTATTTGGGTTTTCAGTAGTAACAACTACTCAGCAAACCACTGCAACAGAACTAACTACAACAGAAGCAAGACCAACTAATGTAATAACAATGGACCAAACTACAATAACCACAGCAGAACCAACTACAATAACTACAGAAGAAACTACAACAGGAGTAGCATCAACTATTGTAACAACAAAGGAACAAACTACATTAACCACAGCAGAACCAACTACAGAAGAAACAACTACAACAGGAGCAGCATCAACTATTGTAACAACAAAGAAACAAACTACATTAACCACAGCAGAACCAGCTACAACAAGATCAGAAACTACTGTTGAACAAACTACATTAACCACAGCAGAACCAGCTACAACAGGATCAGAAACAACTACTATTGAACAAACTACAATAACCACAGCAGAACCAACTACAACAGGAGCAGGTTCAACTATTGCAACAACAAAGAAACAAACTACATTAACCACAGCAGAACCAGCTACAACAGGATCAGAAACAACTACTATTGAACAAACTACAATAACCACAGCAGAACCAACTACAACAGGAGCAGGTTCAACTATTGTAACAACAAAGAAACAAACTACATTAACCACAGCAGAACCAAGCACGGCACCAGGTTTGATTTTTATATTATTTAGTACTGTTTTCTACCAAAATAATCCCATAAATGACAATACAGAACCAAATAAATTGATGCATTGAATAAAATATTGCTTTTTAGTTACCACGTATAATGTAAGGCTGGAAATTACTAGTGAAGTGTATGTTAATGAACTTGAAGATTCGACGTCGCCATTGTACATAGAGTATGAACAGAAAATCTGTAATTCGGTAAGAACAATGTCGTTCATTAATGTTTGCAAACAAATAGGTGTTTTAATGTATTAAGATAATCGACTAATAAATGGTTAAAGTAAATAATTGAATTTGTAAGCATAAGCGATAATAAGTGTATATGTCTAATTAAACATTTGACTAAACTTTCTTCTTACATGTAGGCTGAAACTGCCGATTTAGGCATTATGTATATTCAGATCCTCTATTTCTCAAGATTTACCTTTATTTAGTGTGTTCTATAATTAATTATTGTTATAATTAAGCTACAGTTATTGTTACATAATGATGCTGCAGATAAATTCAAATTATCCTAATTTGGAAGTTAACGAAATAGATTTTTTCACAACATTTAACAGTTAATTTTATTACTTCATATTAACTGCTTAATTTTTCACTTAGTTGATCTTCTTAGTCTTTGCGTTTGTTTTTAATTTTTTTTTTTTAAGTGTTTACTGCTCCTTTTTGGAGGATCGTAAATGAATTGAAAATTTAAATATATGCACATTTTAATTTTGAAATTTCAAAAGATAAGAGCTTTATTCGATGCCATCCTGGAATGCTCAGTCCTTAGCTTTGAAAATGGGAGCATAATCGCAAATGTACAGGTAGAATTTCCAGAGGACACTACTACTTCTGAAGGAATACAGGCAGTGCTTGCTGCGGTTGAAAATGGCATGTTGCCTGACACTGATTTTGTCATTAACACTGAAGCTATAACTGTGACAGAAGGTATGAATAACTACTGACAATGTTGTAATAGAGGATGTCAGTTTATGAAATTGCATTATTTTATTTATTGTTTGTATACATACTTCAAAATATCAATGTAAACACGAACATTCTATATAAAATTGCTTGGTAGACAAGCAACAGAAGTAGCTAGTATTCACCGCCTAAAATAACACATTGCCAAAGGTTGAAGTTTAAGATTCGTGTAAAAAATCTAAACACAAGTGTGTTTGTTTATGATTTCAGTTGAATCATGTACTTCCGATTATTGTTACAATGGTGGGACTTGTTACGAAAATGATGGAACACCTGTATGCAAATGTGTATCTGACTACGAAGGTGAAAAATGTCAAGATAAAAAAGGTAAGCTTATTATTTGC